TAGTAGGTCCGTTATTTTCTTCAATTGTCGAGTATTCTCTTTATATTTGACTGTGATTGATCAATTTTACACTGCTTACGATATCGGCATACAATTATTCTGTAGAATTATCACGGTTTATGACTTAAAACACCGATATATGACGTATTATAGGACGGGCCTAATATACGACAAGAAGCTTCTAATTTCTACCGCGATATAACGTCGCCACCGTCAACGCGGAGTTCGTGGCTGACTAGGAAGGGCCCTTAAAATTAAATATTATTTTGCGGGTCAAATCCATAACGTGACGCGGGTCTAATTGCAGATCATTTTCATTATTTCATATAAATTAAATTAAAAAATATAAAATAGTACTAAAATTGAATAAAATCATTCATAAAGTATTAATTACAGCTATTAAATATGTTCTTGATTGTTTTAATATTTTTTTGGCTAAAAATATAAATTTTTATCCTACTTAGGGTAATCCAGAACTAGAGCATTTATCCTATAGTATACCTCAATCAGTCAGTAAAATGGAATTCTTTTAAATTTCGACACACCGAGAATCGTATTTGGGGGGGGGGGGGGGGAGAAATAGAAACGATCCCTTTATTATATTTTCGCGCGATGGATGAAGAGACCGAAAGACGAATCCGATTGACCGTTTACCTGTGCTGGGCCAGCAACATATCTATGCTGGTGACACTACGCTGATGGGTGCCATCCTTTTGAGCCGCATTCTGCTTTTTGATACAGACGGCTCGCAACGGCGCGAGGAACACCCCTATCACGAGGAGGCCACTGCCAGTGGCGATCAGCGCTGCTGAGTTCCGGGCGGCCTCCGCGCCCGGCGCGAGTTGCACCAGGCCGACAACTAGCACCACCGCTCCCAGCAGCAACGAACCAACGACGACGTACAACGAATTCACCTGCGAGTGATACGTATTCCCTTCACAAACAACCAGCGGAGGAACGACGAAAAGCGACGGAGTCGCGTCCTTACCTTTCCGCAGAAATAATATTCCGGCGGCTCTTTGTCTATCATCGCCAGCACTGCCTCGCTCTCCGCCAATGGGCTACCCGGCTGGCTGTTCCCTATCCGCGAGCTCTTCTCCTGGTAATAGGTCTTATGGAAGACCTTCACCGAAGGTACCGGTAACGCCGTAATCATTCTGAAACAAGATCCAGAAGCAGGGTAAAATCGAAAGCTGAAGATACGGGCAATGTAAACGATCGAATTATATGCTATCGCAATGAACGTGTTATATGTGTACCTATAGTGGTATAAATCGTAAAGTTCATTATTTTGTTTAAATTTTAAAAAATGCGTGACCCGAATGGTTTCTGCTATTGAGAGACTGATACTTGAAATATTATATATATATATATACACGGGGTGTCTCCGTATAAGTGGCCATCCCTTTTTATCTTGTAAACTAATAGAGATAGACCTAATAAATATAATATCAAATTAAACGGTTCTGGCTAAACTTTATTGTAAGCACAGTGATCACTTAGAAATATTATCTATGTTAGAGAACAAAAAGACGTGAATAATTTTTGCACGGTAAAGTGACAATTTTAATATGATAAAAGTTGTAGCGTTCTTTTTAACAAATACAACGATGTGTAATATAACGACATTATCTTACAAATTATACAAATTATTTTGGTTTAAAGTTTTACTGGCGACTGTTACCTTTTCAGTTTCGGCCCTGCGGTGTGGCCAA